ACTTATTGACTATAATGATAGATACTTTATCAAATGCAATTTATACATTTTAACGAATTACGCATGTTATATATATATAGACAACATTAAGTCAAGCCTTCCAGTAATTCCAGGTTTCTGGAGGTGGGTTAGCTAAAATCATTTCGTGAGTTCATCAGTGAAAACGATATAGTTGTTTAGGTCCTCATGGGGATTATGAATTTTCATTTATACCAACCATTATTTTACACATTTGTGAAACATACATGAATTGATTAAACATAATATGGGTCTGTTAAAAACATTCGTGTATATTTATTGAGGGAAACTGTACGATCTAAGTGAATTCCACCTAAATGAATTTCATTTTGTGGAAAAGTTATATATTTTGAATATACTTCCTATCAGAGTTGTATTTTCTCAGCTGGATGGTTGAATGCATAGTCGTTGCTAGGGTGGTTGAGCATTCAGTCGCGAGACCGAAAAACATGCGTTCGAATCTCGCGTACGGCGTCGTGGTTGTACACTTCTGAGGATCTCATACTAGGATGAAACAGACATCCAGTGCTTCTACGTTTTTAATGGTGGTCTAACATCGATCGGTTCATGATCTCAGTTAATGTAATGCATTTTTGTTGTTGGTTGTAAATCAATAATTGACTAGACTAAAAAAACTGTGAAACATTTTCGCAACCCATCATAAAGTATCTTATAGAAGGCTTGTGAGTTATTCAGTGACCTTAAATTTAAGTCGCTGTAAAGTTTTAACAAATCAAACTCAGCAGCATATATAGTGTTCTGCGTTTCGAAATTACTTTAATCGACTAACTCTTAACTTGAATTATTTGAAAGACTTTTGAATTAATAAAGAAGTATTTTATCAGTTTTCGAAGACATCTCGAAAGGGAAAAGTTCATCCATAGGTCAACCCAAACATACTGTCGACCAGATGTAAAGGAGTAAATGAATAGTATTTTTAAAACCTTGGGTAACTTACTGACCAATAAAAAATAATAGTGCTTACTAGTGAAAACATTTGACAATAAAAAGATAACAAGATTACAGTGAATAAATAGCTTTGATATGATTAATAAGCACTTATATGTTAAATTATTTATTTTAGCAAACAAAAAACGTTGTATTTTGAAAAGAGCAAGAACAAAGATTCTAGCAGAATAGCATGAATTCATTTTATTTCGTGGGTTCTCTCTGATTTTTAAATATCATAGGTTGTAAGCAGCTGACTAGAACCTACGAAATAAAATGAATTCATGCTATTCTGCTAGAATCTTTGTTCTTGCTCTTTTCAAAATGATAAAGGGAACTATGTGTATGAAAAAACGTTGTAGTTTGGTGCTGGCGATGCTTTACCATTTTTTTATAAATAAAGTGATAGAAATTAGCAGTGAGATCTGGAGTAGGACTTGGACAACTCTTCCTAACTATTCATGCACCCTTTACACAGGAGAAGGTATTTCTTGCAGTTTAGCTTAAGCTATCTATGGTTACATAAAAATATTTTTATTAATACTAAAAATTCTGAAAATTAAATATTGGCAATTTTTACTTAATTCAGATTATGATAAAAATATTTCAATTCTCTTCAATTTCATGCAAAAACCCAAGAAGCGCTAAGTTAATCCTCATCGAATTACTCAGGGTCAATACACCCGTTATCTGTTCAGGGTTTTTCATTGTACATATCACCTTAAGGTTTCAGGGTAATTTACCTCTGACTGTCTAATCTGGTGTTGTCTTAGTTGCGCATAACTCTTCTACTTTTCCAAACTTATTCAGTCACTAGATGTGCTGGAAGAAATTTATGATTATCGAGTTGTCTAAATTCTTTGCTACATCAGTTTAGTCATGCATATGTCAGGTGGATAGAGAAGGTTAATACACAATTTCTTCTAGGCTTAAACCTGTTATAGTATAACCTTTTCTTGATTTCTATGGTTATAACATTTGTAAGTGGTTCTATTTCGTCCAATGTCTTTTCGTAAAGTGACATTTTAGATGAATATATTATTATGGTTGACAAATTTTCTGTATTCCATCTAATAACAATTCTACTAGCTAGATTAACAGAAATATATAGTTATATCCACTGTACAGTCATGCATACTTGTCCTCATACGTGCATATCGAAAAGGGAGAAAATGAAAAGGAACAAGAAAAGAAAGGAGAGGACAATAATAATAAATAATAATGAGGGCGGAGTGAGGAAAGAAGAAGGAGAGGAAAAGGATGAAGAGGAGGAGTAAGGACAAAATGGTGGAAAAGAAAAAGGAGAATAATCAAATATACTAGTGTGACGCTATGGTATGAAACGTTTCTATCAATTACTAAGATAGAGGATTTGTTAAGACTAGTTAACATTGAAAAAGATTTTATATCACGTTCTCACATTAGCTGTAGATTCACTGAAAACCAGTCATAGCTGACACCATTAGAATCTAAGTAATCTTTCCTGAAATTTATCATTAATAAGCTTATAGTTGTTTCTAACTGTACTTAATTTGAAACAAATGTTTAGTGTTCCTTAATTTACTTTAAGTCTTTTGTTGATGTCAGTTCATGATGAAGGAAAAAGTAATTTTCTTAAATTGATTTGGTAATCAGTACTGTAAGACAAGGATTATTGTTAAACCTTTTGGCATTATTCACAGTTTATCAGTCATAAAGAAATTCAAACCAAGAACTAACAAGACGAATCAACAGTTCGTTAGATTTTCATTTCACTTCTGATGCGTTAAAAGGTTCCATCTTACTTTTATCTATTATTGTTGAAAAAATGCATTGAAACACTTTAGACAATCCTGTCAAAATTCCAGTTCATAATGTTTTTGAATTGAAATTTCAATGTCATCTAAGTGTATTAACATTTCTGAAACATGTACAAATCTATACACATACCCTAACATATTTTTTTGTGTTTCATTGTGTTAGAATTCACCATGCCACTGGAGAATAACATTTCTGTCGGACCATACATTATCAATGATAATTTATGCTTGTCCGGAATAGTTTAACCCTTTAATGATATAGGGAAGTATATGGCTTAGTTTCAAGAATGTGAATAAAAATCTTACAATACTTAGAAATCAAGACAATCAAACAAAAAATTCGAATGTAACAAGTAAGAAACCTTTGAAAAAATATGTATCTATTGACAAGAAAGAACATGTTTAGGTAATTGTATCAACATATTCGATAAAATTATAACAGAGAATAGAACTTGGTTACTATAGAAATATTCATATTTTTAATCATTATTCATTACCGATAATTTAACTAATTTTGAAATCATCAGAAGGGGTTTGTGGAGATTTTAGAAATTTCACAGATTGAAATCATGATTCAATTGAAGCTAGACCACCATGGAAAACTTGGGTTCGAATCTCACGGGGTGCAGATCGTGGATGCGCACTGCTGAGGAGTCCCATACTAGGACGAAACGGACGTCCAGTGCTTCCAGGTTTTCCATGGTGGTCTAGCTTTAATTGACTCATGATTTCAATCTGTAATTTGAAATCCTTATCAAATAATTTAAGATATTTACTACAAGTCAAAGAATAATATACATACTAATTTTGTAAAGAGCTGAAAAAGGATCTGAATTAAAAAAACTCCCACAAAAGTAACGAAACTTAGTTTTGTTGGAGTTTTGTTCTCTGAGCTCCATCAAAATCATCCACTTGAGCTACATATCTTCTGCACCATCTCATAAGGAAACTTAGGTTTTATTAATAAAGAGGGTTATTGAAGATTATACTATTTGAATTTAATATCCACAAATGGATGAAATGAAAGGATCTACTAATATTAATAGTGTAAAAAATGTACATAGTAAATTATGCAAATTATTATTTTCTTTCAAATTCTGGTTAGAATACAAAGTCTCTTCAACATTTCACGGTATATGATAGAGATATGCACCAACTATTCAATTAATATCACTCTATGGGTTAATCAATAGATAGACGTACAGAATATTTATTTCTTTTATCAACTTTTGTAATTCCTAAAAGTGGATTTGGAAACCGATCTATCCTAGTGTGTTTTATGATGAAACTTTGTGATATGGTTTTGAACACCAGTGAAAATATCAGTTTATTCAATGTTTCTAATACCTCTTACTGATGAGTGATAACTAAGATGACATTGAAACCGTTTGCATCCAGCTTCAAATTTGTATTACAGTAATAAAAACTTGTTTAATTTTAAATTCAATCTCCAAAATTCAAAATACATGTAGGTGAAATCATTTCAATTTTATATTGAAATTCATAAAACTCTAACTCTTGATGAACTTATCTTTATTCAGTCAAATTTCGGCATAACTCCAATAATGATGTTTTTTTTTAAAAATGTAGCATCTAGATACTGATTGCTGCCAGTAAATTGATGTATATTTTTTCTCCTTGATCATAAAAATACACTTGGTTATGATAAATTTTATAGAATATATCTTAAGTTTGCATGAACTGAATAACTAGTCAATAGAAAATGATAATAAATTTCTGGTATTGAAATGTAAGACATATTGGGAATTATCAACGAAATTAGTAGTAGTGTCGTGTTTATACAAAAATGAAATTAGATAAAGTTGATTAACCTCAAACTATCTGTTAAGGTAGTAAGATGACAAATCTATCAATATGAGTGTTTGCAGAAAAAGAACTAGAGTTTAAGTATTCAAACATTCCTTGTTCAAAAGAATCAATAGTTTCCAAACTTTCAAGAAAGATAAACAGAGATGAAAGGCCAAAACAAAAGATATCATGAAAGAAATCATGGGTAATGGTAACAATCTTCAACAATCATCACATAAGAAAGTACATGTTATCTAAAATAACAACATTGTTCACCAAATGTTTTGCCGTAATAATCCTGTATTGTCTCAATCACAATTAAACATGAAAACTATCTAAATATACATTCAAACTATATGTGTCAAAATGATCGAATATCAAAATCAAACATCATATTAAATCGAATTTTGAAAAAAACATACTTACTTTTAGTATAGAACAGAAAAGTGAACAAGATCAGCAAAAGTAAACATGAGTTATTTATGAATTCCATGTTTATCAATAATGATAAAATGAAGATATATATCAATTATCCACAAACTCTCAGAAATAGTATTATTATCCAAAAAAAATCTTTTTTCCCTTATGATAATGTATGTATCCTAGTAACTTAGTGATTCCATGGTGATAATGTCATCAATCAGTTCTGTGATGAATGATGATGATGATGATTATGATAATGACAATATTTTCGTCAATTTATTAAATCATATCAATGAAAGATGTTCAGGATAAATTTTTATGATTGGTTATCAATAATCAGGTATGGTGAATATCTATAATGCAAATGAGGTATATTATATATATATATATATATATATATATATATATATATATATATATATATATGTTTTATGTGCAAACACTTGTGTTTAATCCACATAAATCCATGCATATAACAAGTAAAACAATGTTATTTATACTAAATGACATAACAAAATAAGAAATTTAAATATTTTAATTCTTTTCAAAATAGAATTTTATAATCAAATATTCATAGTTGAGTTATATAATCTATAGAATTTATATATGGAAGTGAACAATGTAATCGATTGTATTTGTAAAATCAAAAACTTAATAATCTCCACAACCTCTATACTAGTGATTATCATGTGCTCACTAGTGACTAGCTTCGTGAAGGAATTCTCAGAGTTCTAGTGAGAAGCCGTGACCAATGGAGCTAATCCATATCGGGTAGAGACAGGTATCTACTTCAGTACAATGGAAGATGGTGGCGCAATTTCTCGGATTGGTTGATGTTAGACACTATCACCATTGGATGCCAGCTCAGTGGTCCAGTAGATTAAGCGTTCGCGCGCGAGACCGAAGGCCCTGGGTTCGAATCCCACGAGCGGCATCGTGGATGCATACTTCTGAGGAGTCCCACAATAGAACGAAACGGCTGTCCAGTGTCTCCAGGTTTCCAAAGATGGTCTAACATCAATCGGTTCATGATCTCAATCAAAAACCTAATAATCTCCACAACCCCTATACTAGTAATTTGAATCCAACGTTTTGCCTAGTAATCTAATTCAAGCTTTTTCAAGGAAATATATATTTCCAATATATATCTTACAAGATCCTGTGGCCTATGTGTACCATTGGTTTGGAATAAGAGTTTTTCAACCGCTCTAGACAGATTCTCCTCAAAAAAAATATATTTCCTTAAAAAAGCTAGGATCGGATCGCCAAGCAAAATGTTGGATTTACTTCAAATTCTTTCGTTGAGATTTTACAAATACATTCTTCTTCTTTAATGTCTCACATCAACTCGGCACCCAAATACTCTGAAACTATTCGATCAAATTCAGACGAAAGTTTTTATTTATTATTCTGCAATGTAACAGATTTCTCAAATAATTTTGCATTCGTTTTTACTTGTTATATTGATTAGTTTACCAAATGGAAGTATGATATTTAACAAACAATATTAATGTATTTAATAGTAGAGTTTCTATTTAATTGTAAGATAAATAGTATAAGGGTATCCCTTATCCTAGTATCGATCCCAGCGGAGGAAGAAATCAGGAAGAGGCGCTGGAAGTAGATAGGACACACATTGAGGAAAGCACCCAACTGTGTCACAAGGCAAGCCCTCACGTCGAATCCTCAAGGCCAAAGGAAAAGAGGAAGACCAAAGAACACATTACGCAGAGAAATGGAGACAGATATGAGTAAAAATGGACGAAAATTGAATAGAACTGGAAAGGAAGGCCCAGGACAGAGTGGGTTGTAGAATGCTGGTCAGCGGTCTATGCTCCATTAGGAGTAACAGGCGTAAGTAAGTAAGTATCCTAGTATCTATTACCTTCAAGTGAATGATTTCCATGATTCAAATATATACATTGTGTGATGAAGTTTATCAAAAAAATCTCCGGATTATTGATCCAACGCTCCAGTGAAAATGGAATAAAGCAGAATAAAGAATGAACTGTCAACAAATAGAGTCGTTTTATGCAATAAAATGTTGCATTCATAAGTAAATCACATTTGCGAGTCAAATTATTAGTTTCATGTGGTTTTAGGCAATATTGAATAAATCGATCAAAGAACTCATGTGATAATTAATCTGTAGCGAACTAATCCTATATAACTGTTCAGGGAGGCGTTTTTTTGAGAAATTTCATACACATAGTTCCCTTTATCATTTTGAAAAGAACAAGAACAAAGATTCTAGCAGAATAGCGTGAATTCATTTTATTTCGTAGGTTCTCGCCAGCTGCTTACAACCTGTGATATTTAAAAATCATAATTACATAATGGGTTTAAATTGCTAACTGAATATTGTAAATATATACCTAATGTGAAAGAATATTCTACAACATTAATTATGACAACAGTTCAAAAGTGGGTTAGAAACAATCGATTACATAATGAATAACATTGAAGGAATGTAGTGAGTAGAGTTCAGTTGAAAGATTATTAATTTGAAAGATAGTTTAAAAAATAAAATAGAGTCAATGATGTAATAAATGCAAAAGAGAAAAAATAAAAAATAAAATAAAATTTTATGGTGTAGTGAAAGAATATTTGTCACCAGGGCAAGGAAAAATTAACCACCGTCTCCTTTTGAATACATAGGTCAGGTTTTTGACGCCTGATGGCAATGGCTCCAGCAAACTTCAGAAGACTAGAGTTTGGCTGCTTACTAATCACTCCAAAGGATTGCAAGGTATCTACCTGATGTCCTGTATCAAGGAGATGTTTGGTGATTGCACTGTTCAGAGTCTTCCTTTCCCTTGTTCTAAGACTTTTTGGAACATGTTCAAAGCAGCTGACGAGAACCTACGAAATAAAATGCATTCATGCTATTCTGCTAGAATCTTTGTTCTTGCTCTTTTCATAATCCTATATAACCTAAGCATTTTATCGAACTCCTACCAACTGTATATTTTTTAGGTTTTGTTGATTTGTGTCAATGATTAACATCATAATACTGATTAAGTAACAGATTTAATCTAAGAAGATACGTCGAGTTAGTATGAATGTCATACATTTGGAGTGAAATTGTACCAAGAGAACTTTTATATAAATCTCTATAAATCCAGTCCTCTGTATAGACAATGAAAAATTTCGAAGATTCGTTACGTAGCTTGATGATACAAATTGTTATCTATGACACTCCTTTTTTGTTTTTTTAGAATAATAATACTTATTTAATGAGTTACCGATTGTTTTCTATTATTTGAATAATTTCAAAGAAAATAAGGCAAATATTTCAGTTATTAATTAGTTGATTAATTAATTAACTTAAACACATAAACATTGGTACAAGGAGGCACCAAATATATATGCGCCACATAAATCATGCCATTTGTGTGAGGGCTGGGATACTGCCTGTATGGCAAAACCGAAGCAGGTAGTTTATTTTGGGGAGCCACACCCGGAGCCTTTGACCTAAAGGTCTAATCCACAAGGCAGTGAAGCAACGTCAGGAAATGCAGTCTCATGGTAGCCGGTGACCAACTATAGGTTCATACACCATTGGTTTGGGATCAGGGTTTTCCATTTCCCCTAAATGGATTCTCCTCAACCACCAACCCGATTAGAGAGTCGGACATTCGCCACGGAAAGGCAGTGAGCAGGACTTCTCTGACAGTGGTTGTATGCACGTGGCCATGTGAGAGTACTTCGAGAGGGAAAGCTGACTTTGCCCACTCTCGTCCGTACCAAGGCATTTAAGGGCAGTGCCAGGGCATTTGGAGGCTATTATTTAGTAAAATAAAGACAGTTCAAGGAAAAAATCTTTCTTTTTGACAATGTTATTTTTTAGAGTTGTACAAGTTTATTAATAGTTATTTCGCATATAATAGTATATGATCTAAATATCAAATTATAGTAATCATTCATAAGGTTACTAAAAATTCATTAACATATTTTCTATTGTCTGAAATAAGTTACGTAATGGTTCAAGTGCAATAATGAGACAAAATAAAAAATGACTTATGAAAGAGATATGGAAAATAATTTACAAGTTTAAATAAGTGACGAGACCAGGATAACTGTAAATACTATCGTACAGTTTCGGAAAATGATATCACTGGGACACAATTTTTATTCATTGGACTGTATTTTACTCAAAGATGCAATGGTTTTTTTAATATTATATGGTGTTTATTTCCATATTGTTAATTCTACTGATCACTTTTTTATTAGTGTAAATTTACCACTTCATATCAACTATTTCATATCCTTTCTTCTTAAACGGAGAGGTTGGTGGTTCGGGCCCATACTGAGGTTGCCGAGACATTTGACGTCAAATACAATCAGCGTCACTGATGACTTCATCTTGCATACAACAATATGAAAGCAATCCGCTCAGGATTCCCATCGAACAATAGAAACTAACAACTACCTGTATATTGTTTACGTAAAAGTGTATACACTTTTTATTGGTACGTATAAAATTCGTTAGTATAATTAGTAGACGGTAATTCATTGCTTAATAACGTGAAATTAATGAAAGAAATTTTTTGGTCTCGTGTTTCACACAGTAAAAAATTTATTACATTTAAGGGAGATATTGCTTGTGAAACTGTCTATAGATCATTTCCAAAGATAGAATTAAGCGAATTTTCATATAATATACTGTAGTCACACTGTTATATCCTTGTGTGAGAAGATAAGTTGTCACGACTGATCAGTTCAATGTACATATACACTGACACGTTAAGAATATTATTTGACCTAAATTTCAATGCAACACATTTTTTACTTTTCAGAGGATTTCTAGAAGAGGAGCTGACTCTCCTCACCCTCGGCCGTACCATGGCATTTGTGGACATAATTAAGTTAACCTGAAATTCACTTTTAAATTAGTTGAACTCATTGTAAATAACAACTGAAATAGTAAAATTTTGGTTTATTTAATAGAAAATATATCTCGCAAATTAAGAAATTAATGTGTTCTATGTAACATGAAGCATAAGAACTTGCATTTAAACTATGTAATAATTCATACGGTAAATGAACATCAGTACGTCAGTTCAATAGAAAACATAACAACATGGCACTATTTAATGGTAATCCAATTATAAATCAATAGTATTACTTCTCCATTTTCTTTCAAATATATTCCACATATTTTGTAGGAAATAAACATAGATAAGAACAGATGGCGGTTGGAGGTAGTAGACAGGAAACCCTGGCCCCGGGTTTCATGCTACTTGGCACCTGTCAAGATGAGTGACACGAAATCGAATCCGTCAGGGAGCACCAGTTTCCTCAAGATTACAGACAAACTTTGCTGAAAAGTGCCAAGTAGCACGAAACCCGGGTCCAGGGTTTCCTGTCAACTACCTCCAACCACCATCTAATCTCAACATAGTGCACGTAGTGTCGAGTCACCTAGACTGGTGGCCACGTTGCAACATGGTCGATATCATTCGATCTGCACTAATAAGGACTTGACACACATGACATTGATCACCTTCCAGTGACCAATCAATTATGATAGATAAGAATAGTTAGGTTTCTTTAGTCACCGTACTTTTTTATATTTCAGAAATTATGCAAAACTGGGCTATGAACCCTTGAGTATACACCATCTGCATGAACAACCAAAAAAACGGTGAACATCGAGGAGAAAGTCGTTTTTTTTAAAGAGCGAAAATTTAGAAAATAGAGAGAATTTCTAGTTTTAATGTAATTACATTTAATATGATCGTAAGTTTTAAGGGAAAAATAAACGAAAGGACATTTTACTTCCCTACAATAAAGAAACACTACGAATTGGAATGTAAATTACAAACATTTGAAGATGGAAAGAGATTCGTGAAAGTTTTATCGTGATTGAGATCATACAAATATCATCGTTTAAAATTATTTTCAACGAATAATAATAATACTAATAACAATAGTGATAATGATTCTAATTATTATAATACGATTTTTTTTCTCTCACAAAGTATGCCTGTGATTAAGAAGCAAGCTGAGAATATGACCAAATTTTACTGCCAAAAGAAAAGAGTGATGTATGCTTTTCAAGATAGATTCTTAAGTATTATGAAAAATATATTTTACGAAATCTTTATAAGAAATGATGTACAGATATATTTACTATATCATTAAGCTGGATCCTAGTATAGGATACAGTGGACATCTAGGATGAAGCTGGACGATCTAAACTTCGCACACGCAACAACAAATGCAGAAGACGACTATTGTAGCAGCAGTAGGTCTCAACATACACAAAGGAAAAAGCAAGATTCTCCGATACAACACAGCATGCACCAATCAAATAACACTTGACGGAGAAGCTTTGGAGGATGTAAAAATCTTTACATATTTAGGCAGCATCATTGATGAACAGGGTGGATCTGATGCAGATATGGAAGCGCGGATCGGCAAAGCAAGAGTAGCATATCTACAAATGAAGAACATCTGAAACTCAAAACAACTGTCAACCAACACCAAGGTCAGAATTTTCAGAACAAATGTCAAGACAGTTCTACTGTATGGTGCAGAAACTTGGAGAACTACGAAAGCTATCATCCAGAAAATACAAGTGTTTATCAACAGTCGTTTGCGCAAAATACTTCGGATCCATTGGCCAGACACTATCAGCAACAGCCTACTGTGGGAGAGAACAAACCAGATCCAGCGGAGGAAGAAATCAGGAAAAAGCGCTAATTAGATTTTACAAACTACTGTGTATTGGATACCGGAACACTGAAATAAACTTTTAACAACAATAACTTGGAGATAAAATACAGAATGAGTTTGTATAAGCTGTTATACATACTTGGTGTAAAGATACCAGAACTATTTCAATTCCAAAAAAATCACCTCAATGTTGTAAGAAAATTCTAAAATAATTGTAATCCTTGTATCGACGAATCAAGTGATCAAAAGTGGTAGTTACATAGCGGTATATTTAAAGTTATTTTAGAAGATAAATTTCATTCTTCATTAAAATAACTATCAAAGATTGCATGTTGAATCAAAGACCTTGAAATGTTCAAATAAGTTCCGTCAATGACATGAAAGTATATTGTCTTGAACTGATTATATAACTCGTTAGGATAATCCAGAGGAAAATTGGAATTCCAAAATTCCAACGTTAGTAATGTGTGATTAATGTTTGTAACAGTTGAGGAAATTTGGTTGAAGTTATCTGCAACTATCCTAATATCAATATGTCGGTATATTCCGGGTAAAAATCCCAGATGAGAAACACAAAATGAAAATTACATGCTAATAACTGTCGCTCGCATACTAAAATGAATGGAAAAATAGCTGAAAGTGCTGGTTGTGATACACCTAATGAACATAGAAAAAGTTGAGGTTTGATGTGCCCCCACTTTTATTCATATAGTCGGATCTATAAAGCCAGACATATTTTTCAAAGAGGAAATGTGATAGGTTGAGTCGGTCAGACATATCAGTTCATGATCAAATGATGAGAGCTGTTAATGTGTGCATGCCATTGGTTAAGATTTAGTTGAATTATTCGATGTTGATAGATATACGCTATCGACTAAAAGTTTGACTTAAATCTCCATATCAATGAATAGATGCGTGTATAATTTCCATTAGGGCTAGTCACTAAAAGCTTTCTATTTGTTTGGTTTCCTCACTCAAATATCTGGTTGTACTCTTATAACGAAATTATATACATTAAAATTAAACCACAACGACTGTTTAACAACAAAAGACATGATCTCAACCTAACATTTCCACTGCATTCTGCATCTATATACAATAATAAATGAGTATTATTTGGAATAATAAAATATTGAAAAGCTTTAATTATATCAAGTAAAATTATTGAAATATTGATGGAAAAAAAAGTGATAATGAAAAGAGAAAATAAATGTCTGATAAATGAATGAATACATATAGTATGTTAGGAAAAATTAATTTACAATATATGATACTTTCTTGTAGTGACAATGATCAAATTATCAGAACTCTATAGAGATGGTGAATACAATAACATTGACAATAATAACAAACATTTAAAGTACATAATTGTTGAAAGACTTAAGGATAGAATTAGTGATCTAGACTAATCATCCATCCATAAATAGAATACACAAATATACAGAATGTGTAATGCTGTATGAAAAGAATTCAGTTGTTTTTCCTACTTAGTTTCTGGTAAATTTTATTTAATAAATAAGTGGATTGATGATAATGGAAATATAAAATAATCATGTTTTAACTTATTAAATGATGTAAGTAAGTGGTTGATAATCTTTTAATCTATTTAACAAGAAGGTAGTAGTATGACAAAGTTGAACATCTAAATAAAATTAAGCATAACAACATCTTACGGTAGAAATATTTACCAATGAAAAATAAAAAAAAATTTTAAAAAAAAAAGAAAAAGAAAAGAAAAAAACAGAATAAATCAATATTTTTGGAGATAAACACAAATGGAATTATGATATTTTAATCTGTTGAACCGGGTTTTAATGGAAATAAATATGTCATGATAAACATACAAATATCTGGATTAGTCCAATAGCTAGTATGTGATGTCAATAGAGAAAGGTACATATTTTCATAACGTGATATTTGTAATTCAAAATCTAATCGACATTCAAGTTGTAACGGTTCATAACAACATAAATCATTTTCAAATAAATCATTAGATGATAATGATGAAGTAAGTGAATTTGTTGTTCTTTGATCTTTTTTATTTGTAGAATTACAAAACTCAGAACATTTCTCTATAGAATTAATTTTCTCATCATTGTCATGGTTAGATAATTTTTCGGAAAGAGTAAGATCGATTCCTCCTGTTTCTTGACTTCCAACAGGTAAATATGGTGCTCGTGAGAAGAAACCAAATAATCGACCTATTTTAATATACGTAAAGAAAGGTAAATGAAGAGTGAAAATTGATAATTTGAAGGCTCTATATATTCATATTTAAAACAAAAAAAAGAAGGAATAAAGTCCATAACTTACCATTAAAAAGGTTTGAGTTATTCCACTGTTGATATTTTTGGTTCGATTTTAATCAGTTTTGGTTAGCACATATTCATTCTTAGCGGATTACCTCAATATAACCATTTTCACAAGTATATAAGTCGCAAATAGGACCGAATGTGCGACCTGAATTCCATTACTAGCGACAGTTCATCTGTTCTATAAAAACACGTGTGGAAAACGGCAATATCGAGGCAATTCAAACAAGATAGACATATCATAACCAAGACTGATCAAGAATATCAACAGCGGGATAACTCAATCTTCTATAAAAATGATATAAATATTATACCAGTTATACAAGTGAGTGGTTATCTGGACTCAGTAGCTAAGTTGATGAGACATTGACGCCTTAAGAGAAATGTACTGTTGTTCGAGTCTCGATGTGAAAATCAATAGTGAGATGCAGGTATTCCCAGCTGACGAGTCCCAAATAAGACGAAACGTGTATCCGGGATTCGACTACTAGCCACAATCCACTTGTTTAAGGTTTAATTTTAGAATCATATAGAATGTAAATCTTTAGAATGAAATACGTAAAAGCAATGTGCATTATATTTACGAACTCGGAATACGCAGAGATTAAACTAGTAGTGTATATTGTTACCATAAGACACCTTAAAGTCCTCGTATTAGGCGAAAATTAGGACAGAATAATGTAAATGATTGAAGATGTGGGTCTACTGGACGCAAACAGCTTATTGTTTGTCAAAATAATTAACACTATTTCGTTTCCTCTATTGTTGCTGAAGATAATTCTGTTTGAATTGAACACATTGGTTGTTTTTAAGGGTGGCTAAAAAACACTTAAATAAATTTATGACATGGACAGTTGCAAGAATTTGTATCGACTTATGAACAACTCTTTGTATTGAAACCGAGCGACTTAGAGAAACATCTTGGCATAAGAACTCCAGCATACAGGTACGATATCCAGGAACAAAGAGAAATTATCAGTGACTAGACAAAAGAAGTTACAAAGTATATTTCAGCTGATACCAATGATAAGTCGTGTAGGTTGAACGCTATATTAGTTTCCTAAGCTATTCCCGTAACCCGCAGACTAGAACTACACAGCGACTTGAACATCAGAGAGAAAACACAAGTATGAGAGAAAATACTTTATCCCAAGGTTCGTTTTAGTACAGAAAATCAAGGGTATTTATAGATGTTGGCGTCTGTTAAATCAACATCGTATTTCAGCCAATCCGTTAACGTCATATTATGCTACCGATCAATGGTAGCACGCCACGCTGGAATTCTCGAACGTTCCATCGTACTCTGATTGGCTAGGATCCTTCGGCTCCTTTTGGGCCTCTGGAGGCTCCGTTGAAGTTCTCCGGAAGCCGATTCAACAACCAAGTGCAGACAAGATTTTGTTTCCGTTTGGTTGGATAATAAAGGGTAGATGCGTGGGCTAACAAGATAAATGTTTTTCTAACGAAAGGCAGAATTATGTATGCCATTTAGTCAGTCGACTTCTAGTGTTGTTGAGGTGTTGGACCAGACGCAAAAGATCCTATGTAGTCATTTATGTCGAATGACGCCCTAGGAATGATTGATGGGTGTGTTGTGTTAGCATTTATGGGCACATGAAAACTTTCTAGATTAGATTCTGGAATTTATGCGATTTTGTGACTTGAAAATCTGTCAGTGGAGATCACTTAGTAGTTTCCTTTCGTGTTCTGTATAAGTAGGATGTATTTCAGTTATATTAACGCCTTTCTACTCGTTATAGGTAGATCATAAAGTCAGTACGGTTAGCATTTGATGCCTAGGTATAATAGAAAGCTAACAAACATGCTTAATCGACGTCAGTCGAAGATAAAACTCATATACAAAAACTAAACTAGAATTTCAAGTTTACTAATGAATAAAATATAAAATCCAAAATTATTCATAGTCCAGTTATTATTTTTCCTTATTAACTCACTAGCAATTGATGAACGTCTAGAGGAATCTGCATCTTGTGTGGTTATAAGTTGATTTGTATCTGAGCAAGGGTTTTTCGCTACTTGTTGATGCTAAGACAAAAAATCAGTAATGTAAACAAGTTGCAATACTTTTTAAACAAAATTTATTTAAATCAAAGTTATTACGTAAGCACAATAGTATGTTTGTAAAGTTAAGCAACTTTTGGAGGTTAGACTATTTATCATGGATGTTATAGAATACTAAATGTGACTAATATCTGTAGTCGAATTAACCTGCGGTTTGCCAAGAAGTAACGAAAAGCATATCCGGTTACATTAAACATAAAACATTTTATTGTAGAATTCATTCTATACTAATTCCTCTAAATGATTACTTTGTACTTTATGTCAATAAACTCTTTCGGTTGTAATATCTGTCTCTCTACCGAACAGTCCGATTTAAGTGACTGTGCAATTAAATGTCCAGAACAAAACGATTTCCGTTATAACAAAAACAAACAACGAATATTGGATTTACATAGTAATTTCCAGAGACGTATAATTATTATGCAATCAACCAACCAATTGATTAATCAGTGAGTATTTGGTAATAATCATTACTGACTTACACAATTTTGTGGTTTTGGATGTTTGAATTCTTTACCAGAATATTCAAGCAAAGGAAGTGTGTCATAGCATGGTTTTGAAACAGCATCAACTCGATGAATCAGAGCTGGTTGGATAGTGGAATAATATTTTAAAATTAATGGTTCTAAACGATAAGCCTAAAATAAGTGCGAAATGAAATGGAGAAGAAGATAGATTATAAAGTCGTAAAAACTATTTTATAAAACTATTAGACAGAGAAATCACTGACGATCTGCTCTTTTTAGTTTAATCATATCGTTTAACATGTCTCTTAAACGAGGAAGCATATTGTTACATAATTAGATACAAATACATATAAATTGGAAATGATTGAAGTTTGGATCACTTTTGAAAAATAACTTCAATTTTATTCTGACTGAATTCATCTTCAAAAATTATACTTATATACGTGTATGGAGTGGACATATTTATTTTTTATAGGTAAACCAAATAAATGCAAATACTGTTATTGACTTAGTAGTCTAAAGGTTAAGTGTCTGCCGCGAAACCTTAAATTCCTTGACTTGATACCTGGTATGGTCATAAGTATGAACTGCTGAAGAGTACTGTACTAGAACAAAACAACTGTCCAGTACTTACTGGTTGTCTAACTGATAATATTTCGTAGTGTAAGCCATGAAATACTGTTGCTAATATCCGTATTCTTTCTTCTGATAAACCACACTATAGTTGCATAGATATAACAATATTTACATAGTTTATTCAAAACAAAAAAACAGAGAGAAGTATAATATAGATTCTTCATATGACAAATGAACAGTTTGTTCAGACAGTATAAACAATGGAGAGCACTGATAATCTTTTTTACTTGAACGCTTAGACACTGACTTTCAAGTCCCCAGAAATCCTCTGCTCTCTAACTCCAAGAATGAAAAACAAGTGCGAGATACGGATTGAGCTTTACTTCCGAGATTAATTTGTTTATAAAATGCAGGGGTAATCATAGTATGCGACCCTGAGACTCTATAAGCTCCCAGAATCATGTTCAAATAAGTAAGAAAATCGGTTATCATTCAGGCAGATAATGTTGACCTAATCCACCGTTTTCTAGAGGACGCTGACTGCCCGAAGTATTTTTACAATTTCCCCGGCTTCTGAAAACGTTCTTGAGAAATTATAAAAAGGACTTTAACAAAAATCAATGTACTACGTACTACTATCATTTTTTTTAGAAAAATCAGTTAAACTGCCTCTTTCTCACAGCACATGACTCGAATATTTTATCGCCAAATGTGTTTAAAAAAGCAGACAATGTATCTGTTATTATAACGTTAACAAAAACTGTCATATGATTGACAAGCTACTAATGTCTGACAACAATTTTGACTAAAAAAAGACCAAAATGAATCAAGTGATCATCATCTCGTTTATCTAAGGTGATTATAACAATCTTAATGGATTGACAAACTAAGAATGGAATATAAATACTTTTCTAATAAACATTTTTATCTTCATTATAATGGTAAATTTAATTTTTATAACTAAATGATGTAAACTAAATTCTCTTTTTGGGTGTATTCGTTGTAATATTGTTACTTCTAGGAGTACATTGTCAAAATAACTTGTACATATAAATATATATTTGGCTTTCATTCTAACACAAGATAGTAAACCTATACATTTTAATAATATATAGATTTTCTTGAATACTTCCATGTAAAACGCGAATCATAATATTAAAAACAAATATTACTTACTACAGGATCTGCTGGGTGGTAAATGTTAAAAATCCGGGGACAAATTTTTCGAGGAAGTATTGAGTCTTGAGTTTGAAAAGGACCAGGGCGGATACCACGCAAAACCAAGTACACGCCCAAAGGTGAGCCCAAGCAGAAAAGGTTTTCTAACTATAGAACAGTGTACATAAGGATTAAGTAATGTGTACTGAAAAACTACACGGTTGTAAAATGAACATGTAAAGAGAAATAACAATGATAATCGCATGTGGTATGAAACAACTGTTTTGTCTTAGTTTAAGACTTACCAGCATCGTTTATTTGGGAGCTTATACAGAATCAAGATTTGGGATAAAGTTTTTGTTATACTACAAATTGATTGAGTACAAAAATACAAATCATTGGATTTCATCTTAGTGATCTAAAAGGTATCGCGTACTCAAAGGTTAAAGCCCATGTGCAGTGGTGAATTCGTTTGGGTGAGAGGTTCGAAAGTACTTGGAATGCACCTTCATGATGATGAAACGTCATAAATTTAATTATTCACAGTGTATTCATAACACAATAATAACATACTGAAATAAACTATCATGAATAAAACTCATTTCATGGGCCATTCTACAGATTCTTTGAAATCTAGGTTAATGCCCTTTTAATGTTGGATGACAGTTCTAGTTGTCAGTGTCTAGACCTAATAAGTACATGCAAGTTTCTGTTGGTTTATTTCAATATGCAATAAATTAATAAAAAATAAAACATGAATAGGACTGTCGAATCAAAAAGATTTCGACCTTTTAGTCTACATGAAAAACTAGGTAGTGTAAAGAGATAATCAGATATAAGAAAATAATAAGAGATTTAATATTACTACAGCTTACTGTTGTTAGCAATCTATCAGCTTTAAATTACTTTGTAGCTCAAACTTTATATAATCTAATAATGTTGTTTAAAAACTACTACGAATAGAAGAAACTTAGTGTCATGATAACTCATCGAGTTACTAACACTGGGACCATAAACAGGTGAACTCGTTACAATACAGATAAACTTTGTTAATTTAACGGATCTTCTAATCGATAATACTGAGTGATCAAACAATGGAAAAGATAGGACAATAAATTGAATAATATTTTAAAAACATGATTATGGTAAAACATCATTTCGGAGAAAATAAAACTTACTTACTTACGCCTGTTACTCCTAATGGAGCATAGGCCGACGACCAGCATTCTCCAACCCACTCTGTCCTGGGCCTTCTTTTCTAGTTCCATCCAATTCTTGTTCATTTTTCTCATGTCTATTTCCATTTCTCGGCGTAATGTGTTCTTTGGTCTTCCTCTTTTCCTTTGGCCTTCAGGATTCCATGTGAGGGCTTGTCTTGTGACGCAGTTGGGTGCTTTCCTCAATGTGTGTCCTATCCACTTCCAGCGCTTCTTCCTGATTTCTTCCTCCGCTGGGATCTGGTTTGTTCTCTCCCACAGTACGTTGTTGCTAATAGTGTCCGGCCAATGGATCTGAAGTATTTTGCGTAGACAACTGTTAATAAACACCTGTATTTTCTGGATGATGGCTTTCGTAGTTCTCCAGGTTTCTGCCCCATACAGTAGAACTGTCTTGACATTTGTATTGAAAATCCTGACCTTGGTGTTGGTTGACAGTTGCTTTGAGTTCCAGATGTTCCTCAGTTGTAAATATGCTGCTCTTGCTTTGCCGATCCGCGCCTTCACATCTGCATCAGATCCACCCTGTTCATCAATGATGCTGCCCAAATATGTAAAGGTTTTTACATCTTCCAAATCTTCTCCGTCAATTGTGATTGGATTGGTGCATGCTGTGTTGTATCGGAGAATCCTGCTTTTCCCTTTGTGTATATTGAGACCTACTGCTGCTGAGGCTGCTGCCACACTGTTCGTCTTCTCCTGCATCTGTTGTTGCGTTTGGGATAGAAGGGCCAGATCATCTGCGAAGTCCAGATCGTCCAACTGCATCCTAGATGTCCATTGTATCCCGTGCTTCCCTTCAGACGTTGACGTCTTCATGATCCAGTCGATCACCAGGAGAAAGAGAAAGGGTGAGAGTAAGCAACCTTGCCTAACACCGGTCTTCACTTCGAACGACTTTGTCAACTGTCCTCCATGCACGATTTTGCAGTTAATCCATCATATGAATTCTGTATGATATTGACTATCTTCTGAGGCACGCCGTAGTGTCGAAGAAGTTTCCATAGTGTTGTTCTGTCCACGCTATCAAATGCCTTTTCGTAGTCAATGAAGTTGATGTAGAGTGATGAATTCCATTCAATTGATTGTTCCACAATGATCCGTAGAGTTGCGATTTGGTCTGTACACGATCTATCCTTACGGAATCCTGCCTGTTGGTCACGAAGTTGGGCGTCTACGCAGTCCTTCATCCTGTTTAACAATACCCTGTTGAAGACTTTTCCCGGTATTGAGAGAAGAGTGATGCCCCTGTAGTTATCACACTTGCTGAGATCGCCTTTCTTCGGTATTTTGATCAGAAGTCCTTCTTTCCAGTTTGTTGGTACTTGTTCCTCATCCCAAATCTTATTGAAGAGAATGTGGAGTATCCTTGCAGTTGCCGCTACGTCTGCTTTTAGTGCCTCTGCTGGAATGTTGTCCGGTCCTGCTGCTTTGCCACTCTTGATTTGTCTGATGGCCATGCTGATTTCTTCAATTGTTGGTGGGCCAACATTGATTGGGAGGTCCGTGGGTGCTGCTTCGATGTTGGGTGGGTTCAGTGGAGCTGGTCGATTCAAGAGTTCTTTGAAGTGTTCTACCCACCTGTTTTGTTGCTCTTCAATGTTGGTGATTACCTTGCCTTCCTTGCTTTTCACTGGTCGTTCTGGTTTGCGGCGATTTCCAGAGAGTTTCTTTGTCGTGTCATACAGTTGTCTCATGTTTCCTTCTCTTGCAGCCTTTTCCGCCGTCGTTGCTAAATCTTCCACATATTTACGTTTGTCGGTTCGGATGCTCCTCTTCACTTGTTTGTTTACTTCTGTGTATTCAGCTTGTGCCTTGGCTTTTTCTGCTCTTGTTCGACTGGTATTGACTGCTGCTTTCTTGAATCTTATCCAGTGTATCAACAGTGATCCATTCCTTGTGATGGTGCTTCTTGTGACCCAGGACCTCATGACATGTTGAAGTGATTGCCTCTTTGATCCCCTTCCAGTTGCTCTCCACAGTAGTTCCTTCTCCATTGAGTAGATCATGAAAGGCCTGGAACTTGTTGCTGAGGACTATCTTGAATTTGTTGAGTTTGTTAGTATCCTGAAGAAAGGCCGTATTGAACTTTTGTGATATTGTCCGCCCCATTGTCCAGTGCTTCTTGAGTTTCAATTTCATCTTGGCGACCAGCAAATGATGATCTGATGCTATATCAGCACATACTCAAAAGACACATTCCATTATCAACAGAAAGACAATGAATAACAATTGAAAGTCAGAGGAGAAATCCAATTTAAGGATCCTCGAAAGGTAGTGTGGTTATTAGCGAGATTAGAGTGTAGCTATTTGGACACAACCAACGTTATATATGTATATTATCGTAAACATTGTAGATAGTAAAGCGAACGTAGTGAAACTTACATTATCCGCAAACAATAAAGGATTTTGTTGATGTAATGAAGAGTTTGGGTGACATACTGAAGGTTTACTATATACTGACTGGTCGTCCTGATGATTATTACTAACATTTGACTTCTGAGAATCACAATTCATGTGATTGTCACGAGTAAATAGCAAGCTGCTTAATTCCTGTTGTAAATTATTCACCCTGCATAATACATTTTGAAAAAAAAACGTTGACGACATTTTAGCACATAACAGATGAAGAGCATTTTAATGACATACACAGGTCTTGTCAGAATGATTGCCAATGTCCAAAACTTACACCAAAACTAACAGTTATAGACGACAATGGATGCACACTGCTGAGGAGTCCCATACTAGGATAAGACGGTCATCCAGTGCTCCTAGTTTTCCACTGGTGTTCTAACTTAAATTGGTTCATGACATGCAACAGTCTACGCAACTCTATACTGAAAACAGTAAACTAAACATTTAATGTTATATAAGAATAAATAAGTATTGATCAACTATCGAGTATAGTTAGGCTCTAGATACAAAAAAGGAAATTCGGTTGGACAGATGATGACCAATGGTAGGTTCTAAAAGTTTAATGGGTCTATTTTAGAATAAAAGTGTAAAGAATTATGTATTTCCAAACACAGAGGCCCCCAAAAGCCCTGGTACGGCGGAGAGTGGGGAGAGTCAGCTCTCCCTCTCTAAATGCTCTCGCATGGCCACGTGCATACAACCACTGTCAGGGAAGTCCTACTCACTGCCTTCTCGTGACGGCGGTGTTGTCTACGAAATTGAGAGGACAAAAACCGAATTTCCGGCGCTTTAACCGGGTTGGTGGATATGGAGGGTACACCTAGAGGAGTTGGAAAACCCTGATTTCAAACCAATGGTGTACGTGGGCCACAGGATTCTGAACGAACAAATGGCGTATGAAGCAATCGTTGGTCACCGGCTTCCATGGGACTGCATCTCCTTACGTTGCTCTACTGCCCCGTGGATCAGACCGTTAGGTCGAAGGCTCCAGATGTGGTCCCCTAAGAAAACCACATGCTTCGGTTTGGGCACCCGGGCAGTATCTCAGCCGTCACACGAAAGGAATGATTTATGTGGCTCATATGTATCTGGTGTCTCCGTGTACCAATGTTTATGTGTTTAAATAAATAAAATAAATAAACAGAGGCTAAACTCCGAGAACATTATATATTAAAAAGTTTTGAAATAACTTGTTCATTCAGTTATAACAACTGTAAGGAACTGTGGCAAGTTATCCATCGGTCCAAGTTACCATAATTTACATCAATTTAATAATAGACCAATGGGATGAAATGGAAATAAATAGAAACAATAATCGATGTGTTGATCCTAGTAAGCCATGTTCGGCTAATGAGCAACTATCTTATAGATAAAACTGATTTTGATTTTTCCAAGTGTCGATTGCTTCATATTGTATTATCAAAGTCTTATTCTGACCTACATCTGGCTATCGATTACTGGTTGGATAATTGTATAACTGCATCACATGATTAAATAATGTGTTTATTACTCAGTCTAGTCCTACCGATCTAATTATCGAGGGACGTAGTGTCCGGTGTATCAACTATATCGTCACTAACCGTTGCTCATTAACTTCAATGCTAACCAACACAACACATAGGAGTAGGGTTTTGTTAATTATGTATCTTTACGGACTGCAATTTGGATTCACTATAAAATAAAAGCATCACTAGTAACATTTTTGACAACAACACTTTGAGTTGATACAATAAAATTATGTAATTATCAAAGTAATATGTTGGCTATAACTCTTCAAACTTAAAATGAATTAGATTAAATATAACTATTATAGAAATGCTATCATCTACAACTGACAATCAGTAAACAATTGAAAAATGAATTAGAAAATTCAACAGTTGGTTAAACCTTCATGAAGCTAAAAACTAAAAGAGAAAAGAAATCTCTGATCCAAAGTCATATTTTTTAGTTAAAGTATTCACTATTAACTTAATTGAAAACTTTTTATACATGTGGATTCCTAGTTCAATTTAAAAACCATGCTCATAAGAAAGGAAATTCCCATAAATTTGCCGGGAATTAAATATTTCATAAGATCAGAATTGATTTCCGTAGTGAATGGAAAATCTGTTTTGAGGTCTATAATTTGTGTACAATATTTGAAAACATGAAATTCATCACAGTAAATAGTTGAGATGCCAGAACTGTGACTGCACTATAATTTTTTGTAAAAAAAAATCAAGGGTTTTTTGTACGATATTTATTAAACACTGAAATTCGCATTTCTCAGTTAACTGAGGAAAGCTAATTCGTTAAATACATCAAACCAAAAATCTAAGACAAGCACTCACAATGTCCTTGCAGTTTCCAACCGAATATTAACACGAGCAATTTGTTCCAAGTTTCCATTAGACGACAGTCTGTGATCAGGATATAGCACATTCAAGTTATTGTTTGGTAAAGTCTGAGAATAAGTACAAAAAACAAAACAAATTATTTAAGTATAATCGAGTTTCACTTGTTTTTTAGTGGTTGAAAAGCTCTGATTTATTTAGTCATGCAAGTTTAGGAGTTACAATAGATAAATAACTTGAATGTATCTTGTTACTAAGACGGCAAAAAAATACGGTATAGTGTTAGTCATAATCAATGTAGGACCTAAAGAGAACATCCATTAGTCTAAGCTGCAACAACTCCGTATAGAGCCTGGACTTATTAATACATATATCTTTCCTACCAAAACCACATTCCTAAGCCTCAACAATTCCCACTCCGTGGTTTTATTATAGGGTAGTAATGCTTCGAAGATACTTGTAACCAAATACTAGCAAACTGAGCATGTGTTCTACTTTCATAAGTTATATCCAATAATAATGTGATACGGAGCAGACTGGTCTGTTTGGTCTGAATTAGGAGTATGGTTTGAAAAAGCAGAAAGAAAAGATTTATATGGAGGAGTACTGGAGCTTAAGATTTATAGATAAATAAGGGATGGATGCATCTGTGCCACTACAACTAATTCGGCGCTGTTACCTGTCTACAACCATTAATCGAGGTTATTTTACGAACACCAGACAGCTAGTTTGAATACAATAACATGGATCAGACGAGTAATCAATGACTCTATGGACTGATGTCACGTTTTGGATTGGCCACCACTAGCTTTCTTCCAACCTTCGTCATCACCATCGAACATGCCAAGGAAGGAAGTGGTTCCAGTCAGTAACAACGTAGAACTTTGTACGTACGTACATCAGTTTGAGTTGCCACACCACATTGGCACACAGATGCAGTGGTTGATTCAAATCCCGTAGTGGTAGAGGTAATAAGAGTATAAGCAGTAATCGGGAAGATTAGTGTTTGGAGATGTTACTTAAGGAGTATAATACAGTGAAATAAATTTGGGAAGAGAAAAAAAAGATACAAGGAGGAATAAGGAGATCAAAATTTGGGAGAACACAAAGAGTGTATGCACCTGCGTCATTGCAAACGATTCTGAGCCATGTCATTCAGGGTCTCTAACCATTGGTTGCTATCATCTCGCGGTCCCCAACCAGGTAGTCTACACCTACCAACATGACTCAGTCCACTTGTCAATGACTTCATGAACTTGTGCCATGTTTTGGTCTGGCCGCCCCTAGCTTTCTTCCAACCTACTCCTATACCGTGTGGCGCATATATATTGGCGCTCTCTTGTTCCAATATTTATGTGTTCAAATAAATAGATAAATAAATAACTCCTATACCACTGAACATCGCACGTCGAGGCAGTCGGTCGTTAGGCATACGTAGCACGTGTCCCAGGAATCTCAACTGATGAAGTTTCACCACTTCATCAATTGATTTGCCATCCTTACCTAGTACCCGTTTCCTAACAACTGCATTACTTACTCGATAGTCCCAGGATATACGAGCAATATTTCGAAGACACCTATGATCAAATATTAGTAACCTACGAATATCCTCTACTCTTACCGGCCATGTTTTACTGCCGTGGAAGTGGTTCCGGATAAGTAATAAGTGTCCTAGCCATTTCAGTCGATGATGATTCACAATATGATCGATAGATTCGCCATCTTTGAGTATTACTACCCTGAGTCTAACTTCAACATTGCTCATTTGATTATCCTAACAAGCTCGAGCTATCCTTCAATGATACTTACGAACAAATACTTCAGTTTTCGAAGGCAATATTTTGAAAAGTTGGAACTCAAATGTATTTGCAACTACAGACCTATAATAACAACGTTCTATGATTTACACATGAGATTCAGCACATTAATAATGGAGTGAAAATGACATAACGATGTTAAGTATAGCTCACCTTATCCGTAATATTTGACAATTTTGTGGAAGCTGAATGGAAAAATATATTTTTATCAGTTGATTTATTTAATAAGATTTCAGTTAATGGATCATTATCATGGACTTGATTCCAGCCAGTAATTAGATCGTAAACTAAGACACATCCAAGAGAATGAGCAATTATTGAAACTTTTCCACCTCGAGATTCAAAATCAGGATTCAACCGACGAAACATATCATATAATCTATTGAGTTCACTTTTTAAACTGCAAATAATTTCAGCTCGATACAAAGGACTAGTATAATACATAATATCCATAGCAGAACAATTCAGAACTGTACGAAGTCCTCGAAGATGAACAGGAGTGATTGATTCAACTGTATTACCGTCTAACTGTAAAACAGTTCGCCATTCAACAGGTAAAAATTCCACACGTTTATTTTCTTTATCCAAATGTGAAAAGTAACGAGTTTTTATTTTGTCACAAGTATCACGAAGCCTTTACAATAAAAGTGACAGTAAGTTAAATAAAATAAATGTTATAACCAAATGTAGAAAATACATTTATTTATGTAAATCAAAGTTTGTAATTCAGACATCTCCTCTAGATCAATGAATCTGGATAAAAAATAGTCGAACACCACACAACTTGTGACTGCAGACACGTAAACAAAACTGCACACAGCCAAGTTGAAGTTTTAAAAATATTATAATAAATACGAAATCGCCCAATATGAAACCATGTGAAATCAGATTTGAAAGTTTTACGTAACAACAACTTAAACTATTAACATTTAATCCATTCAAGGAATTTATGAACAACTATTTAATCTCAATCTTGATAGTAAAATGGAGTTTTGAATAAATACTCCAACTAACAAGTAGATTGTAAAGGACATTAGATACCCACTTAAACAGATACCTTGATGATAAAGGGAACATGCAAAACCTTGTCAATAATGCAAATATTATTCATAGTTGTAGTAGTTAAATAATAACCTTTCATTGATAAGTCGTTCAGATAGAATTATACATTTATTAGAAAGATAAGTGCAAAGAAGAAGTAACTAATCGATGATTAAATAATGAATAACATTAAGAAAAAATGAAGTATTTCATTGACCGAGAAGATATTCACGTAGAAAACATAATTAATACAGTGCTTTCTGATCAGTTTGCATAGCTTTTAAAGAATAAAAATCACCAACATAAAAACTCTTTGAAAATGTAGTAAACAGGTTAATTGTATACGTAGTACACAAGAACAAGAGCAGCCAAAAAAATAGGCATAAACTAACTTTTCCACTATGTAATACGCTATTATATTATGGAAGTATCTTGTACAAGTTACTTGGCCTTTGAACGACATCAGTGTTTTGAGCACTGATATGAATACTTCTTTAAGAATACTAACAGTATGAAAAAGTGTAGACATCATATGTTAGCGGGACATAGATTGGATTAAATCATGCTCAACGCACGCTTGAGTTGGCGCACGCTGATTGACTAATTCTTATCCAATCAGCGCTAGTCGATACATGGAGAATACTCTAGAAATCTCATGTAAAAACTATAAATATACTAACGTTTTTCCTATTATGCTTCTTACTTCCATCTAGCATTGTTATTTGGAATATAATCTCTTTCCTGTTTAACCGTGTTCTGATTTGGGTACTTGTCGAGTGAATTGGTGTCGACAATACTAAGCAATAGGAATAGCTGGGTTATCACCGTAAGAGAGAATTATAACATCATATGAACAAATAAACAAAAAAGAAAAATACCTGTCTCAAACTACAAAACTGCTACCTTAAAATTAGAATGTCTACGTCATGCATCGATCTACATACAATTAACACAATAATATCAAACTAATGAAGAATATAAAACTCTAGTTGGTTCTTTGTACAAATGGAATGAGAATAGAATTTAACCGAGAAGGTAGGAGCGAGGGTAGGGTCGATAGCAAAATATTAAACTATCAGAAGATTGGAGAGAGTAGCCACCACCAAGCATTATACTGTTTCATTGAAATCACGAACCGATCTAAGTTTGACCACCATCGAGAACGTGGATGGCCGTTTCGTCCTAGTATGGGACTCTTCAGCAGAGCACATCTACGACCCCACACGCGGTAACTGAAGTCAGGACCTTCGATCCCGAGAGCGAAAAGCTAGCTTCTGGACTACTGAGTCGGTATCCAACAGTTCACGAATTCAATGGAATACAGCAATCACACAACCTCATACTGATATTATACTGTTATTTACTTTCATGTGCACCGCAAGCTCCTTCTTAATCTTAAGTTTTAACAAGATAATGCTAAGTATCATGAGTTTAACTGTATTGGGTAACACAATATTATGGGGAGACCAAGATAACTAAATCAGTGTAATAAATAATAATTAGCTAGTTATTTTTAAAAAGTTGGACAAGTAACAAAAACCATATCAAACGTACTCATTGCAATTGTTCAGAATAAGGTTGGTACCCATTTTTTGACCGATCCCATGGATAACAAAACAAAGATGAGAAACATCGGCGATTTTATCCTCCTTTAGGGCCAAATCATTAAAACCACGACACAAACGAGTACCGACTGAAATTCGAAGAATTGAGATAAGTATAAATTGCTTTGGATTAATTATAGTTCATCTGAATAAATTCCAGTGATTTGAGCAAAGAAGTAGTTGTTTTAACAGATGTATTGTAAGAAATTAAAATTCATGGTCGGGGAAGGATGAAATCATACAAGTACTTAGGATTTGGACGGCGTTAAAACGTATCTTATGAGATGCCAACCAAAGTTTTCAGCCATCGAAATTTAGATTAATTATCCGCCTCAGATACAATTTTACTCTAGTATCCAATATTGGTTGACATGGGAGCATATTAAATAGGGATAGAGGAGACCAGATGTACACATAGAATCAATCAACCGAGTCATTAACCGTTGAACTTTGTCGTTATAAAGTGTCGAATTACAGCTTAATGTTTTGAAATAACCGAAACCACCAAGTGGAGGTAGTAAGTGATGTTTCTGAAAGTGGATCTCAGTGATTCAGATATATTTAGTCGTTATCTTTCTTTGTTATAGTTCAGTTTTAATTTATTCCAATGGTTTCCATTCCCCGATTTAACTTGTAATTTCTGAACGATATTTTTAATTCTTAGTTTTTCATAATTAATAATATTACCGCCGTGGCTTCTTTTTTATTTGGTTATTTACTTTTAGCCAAACTGATCCCAAGTGTAGTAGCTTAGAACGATCCAGAACCATGTCAAGTCTTATGTTGCTCATGAATGCTCAACTAACAGCAGTGAACAAAAATGGTTGGTTTTTTCATAAACTAATATGATATTTCGATATATTACCATTTATCTGAACCAGTCGTTTTCAGGGGTAATAAAAACTTTAATCTACCGTAATGTGTTTGCCAATTACATATTAATAACCTCTCCTTTAGATATTAATCAACTACTACCCTAATTGAAGTACTCGAAAAGTTATTCTAACTTTTGACCTAATGAAATGATTACTAAAGAGACGCTGCGGTTAAAAACAGTAAATAATCTTTAGAACGATATTAATATATGCTACTTGTAATGAATAGATAACAACTGAGAGTCAGTAATCCCTATGAGTCAAAAGGTGTGGAACATGTTTGGAACTTTATTTGCTTTGTGAGTTTACGTACAGTTGGACATACCTTTCTGCATTCCCAGTTTTTGTCTGATATATAAGCTAGTGGATTCATAATACAAATACAATTCATTTTCTCCATAACAATCGACATGACAATCAGTGAAGTGAATCGTTTGACAAGCTAAAAAAAGTTCAGAAAACGGGCGCGAATTGAATCCCCACAATACAACCGACAAAATACATAATAGTAAAGTAGAAGAGCTCGCTTCACTAGTGTTTCAATAACATTATTTAAGAATTTCATGAGTCAGTTTTGCGATGGTAAGAAAAAAGAAAGGTCGATTTGAATCTGAACTAGTTGATATTGCAAACCAATCTCTCGTTTCACCCACACTGCAGTCGAAACGTTTGTTCAAATACCACCTGATAGCAAGTCTGTTCATCGTTGGTTTAATGATAAAAGGAATTTGTTTGCATATAGGAAGTGAAATACACAAGTGGTTTTTGTATATAATGGGAAACTAGTATTACTTAATGAACGGAATACTTTCCGGAATAAGTGAATCCTCATTATGTTTTCTTTATGTTAAGTATCTAAATCTCAACATAACTCAGTAACAAATTCTGTAATAGGCTTTTAAGCGTACTTATGAAACTAACAGAACTAAGGATACTGATTGTAATTTGAAAACAAATTAAATGATACAGGATTCAGACCTACTGGTTAGTGGTTGTAATGCATTTGTCTTAACCATTAAGCCATTGACCAATGGCCTAAAGAAGTAATTTTCAAGTGGTGATGGCAAGTCCAGACACTGCTTTACATACTTTTGTGTTGGTGTCATATAGTATTCCTAGGTCTCAGTTTAAGCAAGTATCGAAGCCTAACACAAACTGAGGCTCAGTTACCAAGATTATAATACCTTTTAGTTTTGATTCATCGTATTAAAAATAATGGAGGGATCTTTACAAACCGTTTGACGTATCGCCGTTAACAATTAATATTCTGTTCTTGAACAAACAGCATCTCTTAAATGCTAGTGATAAAATATTTCAGAACTCATACTAAAAACGGTTATTTACACGGTTTAATACACAACATTCACAATATAATTATGAAGAACACATTGATATCGTCACAAATCAACGTAAAAGTGATTTAAAGCACCGCCACCTGTTTGCTATTTGATGTAGGCATACATTTATTTAGCGACTAATTTGAACAGTGTACTCACTACTAACTACAAGTGTTAAGATTCATTTGCCTGACTGGATTTAAAATACTATTTATGAATTGGGATGTTTCTTTAAGCAAACTGTCATTAGTAGATTTTCATACTTAGCAACATGAACATGATGTAGAAGGCTGCTATTATTTCATGCACCGAAAACAGCAATTAAAGTGGGAACTATATGGACCTAAGGAGATTTGTGGGGTTTGTATATGACGTTTGTGATGAGAACAGACTTATTGTAATTAAAATAACTACTAACAGTTCATGAAGTATCTTATTAGTTTTTAGTGTTTCCAACTAACAACCATGGGATAGCGAAGTACGTAAAAGCAAAGAAGCAATGTACAAATTACGAAGTTTTAAATCAGTAAACTTACAACCTCACTTGCAAAAAGTCCTGGCAAAGTAGAATACGAGTAACACTGTGGAACTTACGAACTCGTTTTTTCAACACAGTGGAACCACAGACGTTATCATCTGAATAGTTTTCTACTCCAATTGTTAAATCTTTATTTTCAGAACGAGAGGACTGAGAATTTTCGGCAACCAATTCGCTTGTTTTTATAGCATCTGCATATCGAAGAGTTGGAGCGCTAACAACAGAATGAAGTGGTGTGCTGACATCTATTCTAGTGAACAAACTGCTATTTGAGTACAAAGGTTTATCCGAGATAGCGATATTCTGAGGTTTTCTTAAGTACCAATTGATGTACTCCGCTTCTAAACGTTCAGCCATTGACTCATCATCAAAAGGTTCAAGGGTACCACCATAACCTTCGCGAAACCAAGTGCCGCGCAAAATACGTGCGGGACACCTTTCAACTGAAGAGAAATCAAAATACAGTTAACGCATATCTAATGACAGTAATCGGTGACTGAAATCAATGAGATGTAGACAAAATTAGTTTTAGCGAACACTGAAAAACTCAGTTCTTAAATAAAGGTTTCATGTTTGTAATTTAAGACAAGGGGTTTGAAATCTTATCTTTCATACTGATGATATATGCAATTACTGCTTAACTATTTTACCCACTGTGGGAGAAAATATTCAGTTATTTAAGATGAAAAACAGATCGTTTTTTGTGGTACTACAGAACGATAAGCTGGTCTACCCTTCAGTAAATACATATCAGCCAACACGCTTAAAATATACGGAAATGCGTATCCATTGCCTGATTTAAAAAATATCTTAGCGCCTTCGCTATAGAAAAATGACGTTTCAAGGATATAAAAAATTCTACTTCGGGAGTAATACAAAGAACTAGAAGTTAAAGTACATCACATTTAACTGAAACATTCAAAATTAACAGCTTTAACTGACTATAGTTCGTCTGTATTGTATCTATGAATGATATTGAGTCACAGTAGACAATAAAGGAACGGACACTCAGAATGGAAAAGCAGAGAACGAAATAAAATCACACAGTAGACTTAAACAGATATAAACGACACAGGAATACATCGTATCTTAGACGAAATTTACCCGGCCAGTAAGTAGGAACACAACATCGCCTATCAATATCCGCTTCATAAATTCCACCCCTTACAGATACTTTGTGATTGACGGAAGACTGTTCTGAGTTGCATATTGAAGCTCCAGTTTGATCAAACAGACAGTCGCTTTTATTACAGACAAGGCGGCTTCGATAATTCAACTCCAAATTGATAGAATCGTAACCACTAAACGGTACCCAACGTTTGTTGTTGGAATCGCGATAAAACCAACGAACCTGAGTCGAAAACTTTAAAGTATTTTAAAAAACTACTTGTTCGACTTGAAGTCCAAGGTTATTACTCATGTGCACGTTACGGGAGTTTGCGGACGATGAACCATTACAATTCGAAGTGGAGCCAACAGAATCACAAAACATATGCCTACAAATCTATCGAAGGAGTAATTCAATCGAGAAGACCAGAATATGATCTTGGTTTACGAAACTTACGATGAATAGAAATAACAGTTAGCCTGCGCTGTCAATTTATTCTGCGCGCTAAGCAATCTCTAATATCATTGATTTAAGTTATTGCATCAAACAGTTTCTGATTCGATGACTTGGTTCAAATGGTGCAAACGGTTGTGGATGGAATAGAAGAAGCTTTCGCTTAGCGTGCTTCCGTTTTTAGTAGCAGTGGATCACCAATACCTTCAAGAAGGAACCTAGGTATATTAACGATAATAGAGAAAAAAACAAATTGGTAAATGATAGTGTGATACTATCCTTAGTCCTTAAGAATAGATCAAGTCGCCTCTTAAAGGACTCCTAGGAATTCGCTTGGAATAGCTCAGCCGGTAGAGAATTCCAGCACTTGACAGCTCTTAAGGAGTAGAAGTTATGTCTACAGTCCGTTCTGTTGTGTTGTGTCTCTAGTTTCTGGGTGTTACCCCTTGGGTTTGCATTGAAGATAAACTTAGGTAGGTGTTTAAGGGGATGTCCAGAAGTTTTAAGGATACTGTGAGCCATTAGGTCACCTCTAAAACGCCTGTACCCTAATGGGTAAAGGTTAGGTGATTGGAAGCGCTCTTCATAAGGCTCGAATTTGAGTCCCCTAACTGATTTCGTGGCTAGCCGTTCAATACACTCCAGGGTGTCCTTATCCTTTTGGAGTAAGGGAGAAGATACTATGTTTTCTAACTCGAAATGGGGACGAGTGAAACTGTTGAAGATTATGTGGAAAGTTCTCCATTGAACAGGCCAAAAATGAACATCAGTGTTACCAGTACGAGGTTTGCTCTAGAGGCATTTTTGTCACGATTAGCGTAAGACTTCAACTCGTAGTGTACCAGCAGTCCTAATTTTTTTCAACTTGGGTACTTCCAGAGAGGAGTTTCCTAAGTTGTAACTGTAGTCTGCAACATGTCTCAGATAGACTACTTTACATTTTGAAGGGTTAAAGGTAAGTCCGTTGTCGTCTGCCCAACTTTTTAAGTCGAGTCAGATCCTCCTGAAGCGCCTGTATATCCCCTTGGTTGCGTATCTCTCCAAAGTCTCACATCCCCAGCAAAAATTAATAAGTCAGACGATACCTGTTGTGGAAGATCGTTTATACAAATCAAGAATGGTGGATGGAGCTTCTCTTTCAAAATTTTAGCGGTGAGAAAAACGTCCTGAGCGAATGATGTTGTCATACTTTGACTGTGAGCCTGTAGCCTAAAATTCAATTCGATTGCTTGTGAATAGAATAAAAGAAGCTTTTGCTTTACAAGCTTTCATATATGATAGGACTGAGTTAGTGATGTCTCATCGTAATGACAGTGATATGAAACAAGCAAATCTGGAAGAGATATTGATAAATTCACGGGTCGTTCTGAGCTCTTATGAATATATTTAGTTTCCTCTTAAAAGACTTCGGGAATCTGTTTGGTGCACTTCAACTGGTGGAAACTTTTAATGTTTACACAGCAAAAAGTATAACCATTATTCAACGACCAATGGTGCTTTTAAACCCTCTAATGTTCCCCATAATACTTGTGTTGGAAATGAAACTAAATTAGTACAAGGTTGCTACGGGTATTCTGGGATCTAAAACTAATTTTCTCTTCACAATTTCATAATCTACGGATACCAAACCAAGTAAAACCAGAAGTCTGAAGTTCAGGAGTTTGGGGAAGCATTACAAATGCAGTATCTATGTCATACATTGTGTGACCCGAGATGGTTAGTCATGGTAAGAGAGGCGTACTACAGTGGACTCAATGGCGATCTCGTGAGAACATATAAATGGAAGCTCTTATTTAGAATACATACAGCAAAGCTATTGTAGCTAGCAAAAAAGCAAAAGAGATACAGAGCCGAATATTTTATGGATTTATTTATTAATACAACTACGTGGCTAGCTGATTCGTCGATAGTCAGTCGACAGGTAATTTGTTCTGAGCTAATGAACTTGTGGTGTATTGGTTCTCAACCACACGTCCCTTGAAGCAGAACATGCGATAACTGGAAAGACTCACACTCAACATAGATTAGGTAGTCACACTATGACAAACCTACAATTGAGGAATAGGTCTATTATTCTAGTAGAGTAGATAAGTGCGCTTGGTTAAATAATGCTACAAACTTTTCTCAAATGTCATTGTGAATTCTCAGTTTTGAAAGACAAGAAAACTAATGTCATGCCAGATGCAAATTTATCACTAAGTGATTTAAAATCTGATCAAGTCACCTCTAGTACTTCTATGTGACGAGGGGAGTAGGCTTAGTGTGGTGTTTGTATGAACTAACGATTCGTTTGTAGTTGTCCTAATGTGGTGTTTGAATGAACTCATGGTTCCTTGGTACTTGTTGAATGCTTGATTTCGAATTCCAAATACAGAACATTCGTTCGTGCTTATCTAGTACTTCTTGATCCGATTACGTTATTCCTGGAATTCTTAGTTCGTACTACAATTCAAATACTCCTGATCATCATATTGGCGTCGCGATTGAGCCTGTGGTGGAACGGTTTGACATACATTCAGATTTTGATGCTTTTGAGGATTACTTGAAAAGTTTCGAAATCTGGGCTATGACCAAGGAAGATGATGAGGATGTTAATATTGTAGCACATTTCCTCACATTCATCGGAAAAGAAGCATATAGCATATTGAGAACTCTGGCTTTACCGGAAAAGCCCACTTCGCTTTCTTATACAACTCTCAAGGATCTACTGCTTGACTATGTTAAGTATACAAACTTCAAGTGTGGTAAAGGAGGAAGATTTTGTAAAATGATTCATGAGGATATAAAGAATTCCACTACATTACGTCATCCCAACCCAGTGCATACTCAAGGTTATGCAGATAATTCATTGAGGAGTTTGGATGCAGTTCACGAAGATGGACAGAAGTTTGGTCAATGTTTGTTCTGTGGCAGGTTCCACTCCTTTAATTCATGTAAATTTTGTAATTCTAAGTGCTTTAAATGTGATGATATTGGACATATTCAATCAGTTTGTAATACTACTGTTCATCTTGCTGCAACTAATATTAAGTCTTGTAATTCTGATTCTACTAAGTTGAGTGTTAATAATGATCATTTATCTTTATCAGCGATTTCAAAAGGCAGTGTAGTGTCGTATAGCAGTTCAGAGTTAAGTGAAACTCAGAATTCTTGCGAGACAACAGTTCGTAATCAATCAACTTATCAGATTTCTCATGTTATTGTGCCGGATATAGTTTTTCCGAATAACTCACTTATTTCTGACGAAATTCCTTGCAAATCTGAGGAAAATATGTTGAATGAACCTAGTCATAATGGAAAACCTGATGTAGTTTTGATAGATGGTGATTTTTCTAATGATCCTGTACTCCGCAATGACATTCTTAATAAATTTGAGGAAGCTATTTCAGAAGAACCAAATCTTGATGTTCTATCAAACATTATTTGTTCTCATAATGCATTTGTTGGTTGTGGGAAACTTGTTCAGTGCAAAGCACAAGTGCTAAATGAGCTCGAGTTTCATTACAATTCGGATGATTTCATATCAACTGCTGTTTGTCTTTATCACGAAGTCACTTCTAATGTTTACTTTAGTCAAGAAAACTAATGATGGTATTTGCACGGATTTCCTTATTGAATCTTCGTGTTGAATACCTCAGATCTCTTGGCGTAATCTAAGGAATATGCGGTGCTGTTACTTTTGTATACGAATTCCAAATCACCTCAGGTTTATTTCCTATGAAGCACTTTATTTTCACCGTTCAACTTCTTGAGGGCATTGAATGCAATATTTCTTGTTCATTTGACTTCAGAATGTTTGACACCAGTCTGACTGATGTAGCGTTGCGGAGGACGATATTTTATTTAAAATCCTATAACCGCATGTTCACTTTTAACTAGGAGTGGCATTTAATAGTGGCTTTCGGCGGCAGCCTCATAGCGAGTCGACATGAGATCTAGGAAGTATGATTGAGTATTCGAGTCGTAGCTAATTGTTTTTTCACATGTTGCGTTAGTGCACATGTAGTAAACAGTCAACTAGTTGTTTTTGAGGGGTTTTTCTGACAACTCGATCCCGAAATCTTTCCAGTTAACAATAAGAGTACTAAAGTCTCCTCAAATGAAGCATCCTCCAATTGAATACCAGGTGTTAGCTCTGTCTCACACCACATCACAACTTGAACTACCATAATCAAGCTGATCAACAACTCTCGTCATTTGCATTTCAAACAGCAGACTAATAATACGAACATTCCACTTGTATGAGATGTGTTGGCGATAACAGCAATGAAAAGAATATTTCTGACAAACAAAGCTATTTCTTCTCCACTCCTCTGGGTTCCATCAACACTGGCTAGTGTTAGATTTTCAGATTCTAGTTCTCTGCTGCTTGCAAATCGGGTCATTTAAGTTTATGTGGCCGCTGTCACGTCCGGTATGTGTTAGAGTATGTCTGCATAACGAGTTCCAACTGCTTGTTGGGTAGGCTTCAAGTTGTTGTGTGACAGATTCCAACACCGTTTAAATGGTTTCTTGATGAACCCTAAGTGGCTTTATTATCTTCTGTCGGGGCATCACCGTCCAAAAACTTATAGCTCTTGAGCCCATATCGTCAGCATACAGTCTGATTTTTATTTCTAATTCGGCTCATTACTTTCTCATGCGGTCAGTGAGCGCAAGTTTTCGAAGACGAAAATTCTCGAGCCCTTCGATAATAGTTCGAAACGTCAAAATGACCAACAGATGATATCTGAATGGCATAGTGTCTAGTAGTCAACGATAAATACTTCAAGATACATTTTGATGCTTATTAATCGCCAAGATGAAGATATAAACAGTGAACAACTTTGATCAACCTGTTTCTTAAACGCACACCGAATTAATAGTCATCGTTTAACAAAACTTGCAAACAACTACATCATAGCTTCTAATAACTCCCAAAAGTCTTATAATTATTTAATACGTAAAACCTCTGGCAAAGCAAACTTTAAGACTGATAAGTCTTGTCGATTGAACGCTATATTCGATTCCTAAGCTATTCTGATAACCCGCCAGCTAGAACTACACAGCGACTTGAACACCAGAGAGAAGACGCAAAGTGTGAGAGAAATACTTTATCCCAAGGTTTGTTTTTGTACAGAAAATCATGGGCATTTATAGATGTTAGCG